AAAAATCTATCATGGATTAACAAAAAAAAAAAAATAAAAATAAAAATAAAAATAAAAACAAAAATAAAAAAAAAAATAAAAATAAATAAATAAATAAAATAAATAAATAAATCCGTACGGGACTCGCCGATTTCGTACCGTGAATCGGCGAGTCACTGTACAGAATCGTCCGGTTCTCTCTAAAACCGGACGCTTCCCGTTTTTTTCACCGATTCGATCCGTCCATAGCGATTCCCGAATCGAACCGGACGACTCAGCGTTTTTTTAAACACTGGTAAAGAGTAATCGTGACCTACTCTTTCCTCTAAATAGTCCTAAAAATAAACAATCTTATTATAAACCTTTCTAAACAATCTTATTATATACCTTTGGGCATGAATGTGTGTTGAGCGTATTTTACAAGTGGTTATGCAAGAGGAGGAAAATGTACAGAAGAAGTGCATGAGAGGATGTAGAAGGAGGCTTATGCAGTGGGGAAGGAATTTAACCAAAAATAAGTGGGGTAGGGTAGGATGCAGCCATCGCTATCCCACAGAGGCCCTCTTCTGAGGCAAAGTTGCGCTGCATCCTTATGTATCCTTCCTCCCCCCATTCCTCGCCCGCCCCATGAGTTTTTCAGCAGCCAATACTTAGCCCCATCATCAGAAGTTCCATACCCTACAGCAGTTACCCCATGGTCTAGTTCTGTACCACATTCGCCAGTGAAGATACCCCCAGAGTAGAACTGGAACCCACTCGCATCAATGGCAACAGAGACGGGCTGGCTGGCGACGGCCTGGAGCAGTGCCGTCTCATTGTTTGTAGGAACATCCTCATATCCTGTGATTGTAGCAGCAGGGGAGGACGCATTCCTGATGTTGCAACGCATTCCTGGTTGTGAATGATGAATTTGAATGCCTCGTCCAAGAGGCCGCCATGGCATCCCTCATCTTCTCCATGGGTATCACAGTCTACCAGTTCTTGCTCGGATAGAGACACCAACCTCCCAGTCTTGATTTGGGTTATGCCCTCCATGGCAGCAACAGCAGAAAATGCCCAACAACTACCTACGTCCATGAAGAAGGAAAAACACTACAGTCTATAACATTTGCAATCCATCTTAATTGTAAGGTTCAACTCCAATTGTTATAGCATGAAGGAAACACCACAGTGCTGATTCTTCCAAGCAAGACAAAACTAGAAAGGATGAGATATTCATTACAAAGCAGTGTGCTGGGACACGCCCGCCCCTTGGCCAAGGCGAATGACTCTGCTGAATCCAACACAAGGCCTTTTGGCCTTAAAAAAGTTCAAAAAATAAAAGAAATTGGAAAAATAAAAATCTTGTAGTAAAAAGTAAATTGAAACCTAAAACAACTTTTAAAAGTTAAAACAAGCTTAAAAATGTAAAGAAAATATAGATTTTAAAAACTGATTTACAGTTTGGGACATTTTTAAAAATTACTAAAAAAGAGAGCCTACTATAGAAATAGTGATTAGGACAAAAAAATACTCACCAATCTCTGCCAGATACGTCAAAAAAAAATTAGAATTTTTATAACAAACTAACATATTTTAAAACTTTTTTTTTTTTTTTTGGGTACCCCCGAGTTGCACATCCAAGGGAAACTCGGAGTTGCTCTCACGAGTTCGAGTCTACTCGGTTGAGGGTAGGCCTTAAGGAAGTTAATAGTTTACCGCATCGGCCTTGATCCTTGACTGGAGTAACGGCCCCTTTCTGCCTCCAATCCATGGTGGCTGGTACTGAAACATTAGCATACTTAAAGGGAGCACCGGAAACCTTTGTGGCGCGTGCATGAGCGTTGAAGCCCATGTGCGTAGACCTGAATTCATCATTTGTGAGGTCTGCAAACTTGTTTTCGCTCAGTTTGTAAGGTCGCCCCTCAGCATTCACAGAGCCTATGAATTTCAGATTATCCGGAAATATCTGGAAACGTTGCTCCTTCTCTTCGGCATCCATGTACTGGCGGCCGTGAAGACTCATCCATTGCTCGAACCTCGACGACGAGGTGTCCTCCTCCAGTCTTTCGAGGAGTGGAGAAAGGTAGCCAGAGGCTCATAAGAAACAAGGCCAAGCACAAACAAGAGAGTGGTGAAGTAATTCTAGCAGCCATTGTGAGTAAATGTTATTCCTTTTGGAATGCTTAATTAAACAATGTGTTTGCAATGAAGCATTTGGCTATTGTATTGAGCATATATATACATACATAACTTCCTACTCTCCGTTAGAACTCGCCGGCTACATCCCCACATAACCATCCAAACCATTGTGACATATTCTCTCTCTATTCTCTCTCTTCCTCTCTCTCTCTATTCCCTCATTCTCCCTCTATCTCTTAATATGCTGTCGATTCTATCTGTATCTCTAGATTTCTCCTGTATTATCAATTTTTTGTATGACTGTTGTTTTGTGGGCATATTCCATTGTGATTAGTGTTTTCAACGAGTCTCCCGTTACATGCAATGCCAATCGGTCTGTGCACAGTGGACTTCCCTAGGTCACTTTGACATCACCCAAGCTGCTGAATTTCAATGGCAGACGGCTGGGTTGTGTTCATTTCTCTAAAAAATTGTCAAATTCTCTATTTATTTATTTTATTTATTTTGCTTTGGATGAGGTTTTTATATGACCTAGGATTTATGAAAATTAAATAAAGCCTCACCACAAATTGTTATTTGGAAAGAACTTTGGGGAACCAAAATCACTATGATGCTCTAAAATCAATTTTTATCATCAACAATGAAATTCAAAACTCAAAAAATGGTACAGATCTTGCGGATTTATGAACATTTACTTTTAGGGCGAAATGAATGGTTTGGATAATTTGTTACAATATACACAATTTTTGGAGCTTGAAATCCTTTTTCTTTTCACAACCATAATGTTCAAGCCAAGATGGTCGATGTAAAGGTTTTCTAATGCTTGAATTGCAATTTTTGATGAGTTATGTGGTGAGGCTTTACTTGTTTTTATAGAGCTATAGCCCTATCAAACCATTTTTCTTTTGTTTTTTGGTTTTTGTTTTTTTTTTTTTTGGGTCATGGGAAAACGGACTGCAGCCATCTATTTTTAATGTCTGATGACCAGGGAGGTGTTATAATACTGCAGGAAATTTCATATCGTTCATCCCTAGAGACTCTTTGCCGTCTCATACCACGGTAGCAATTGTCATTATAGGGATATTATTGGCGGGAAGTTTTATCGAGATATTATAATGTTTGTTTCTTTAATTGGAATTTATTGGATAATTATAGATTCAATGTATGAATTATTTATTATGAAATAAAATTTCTTTAAAATCAGTTAATATATTGGAACCGTAAAAGTGTTAGACATTATATAGATCATACGGGGAGAGCAACAATTGAAACTATTTTTCTGCTTGGACAACTGATTGAGAAGTTTAGAGCAAATAAAAAAACTTATACATGGTTTTTATTGATCTAGAGAAGCTCACGATAAAGTACTTCGAGATTTAATTTGATACGTGTTGGAAAAGAAATGACTATCTATATCGACTTGGTGAGAGATATTTACGAGGGAGTTCTAATTAATATGTGTACAATTAGTAAGAGAAGACTAAGTTTTAAGTGACCATAGGTTTACATTAGGCATTAGTGTTGAGCCGATACCTCTTTATCTTAATTACATATGACTTACCGACATACTTACAAGACGAGGTACTGTGGTGTATGTTGCTGCTGATGAAGTTGTTTTGATCAATGAGACCCAAAGCAGAGTCAATACAAAATTAGAACTTTGGAGGGGTGCTCTAGAATCTAAAAGTTTCAATATTAGTCTGACTAAATCATAATATATAGAATGCAAGTAGGAGTAGATGTGAGAAAGTAATTAAGATTGACGGCTATGAAATACCAAAAAAGCGCTTTTTTTATATCATGGGTCGATAATCCTTGAAAATAGAGATATTAAAGAAAACGTTTCATATAGAGTTAGGTGGGTGAAGTGGAGATGTACAAGCGTAATTTTATGTGATCGTTGTATACCAATGAAGCTGAAAGAGAAGTTCCATAGGATTGCTATGAGACCACCTTTGCTTTATTGCACGAAATATTAGGCGGTCAATAATCAAAATACCCATAGGATGAGTGTAGCTGAGATGATGATGTTGAGATGAGTGACAAAACAAGAAGGTATAAAATTTAAAATACATACATTCGAGAGAACTTAGATGTTGCTCCAATAGGTGATAAGATAAGATAAAGTAGACTTAACTGGGTTAGCCATATGCACCATATTCTCAGTATAGTACCTGTGAGGAGTTGTGAGTTGGTTCAAGTGGAAGGCTCAAACAGGGAAAAGGTAAGCCCAAAATGACATAGTTGAAAGTAGTAAGAAAAGATATGAAGACTTATGGCCTTATTGAGGGTATGACCTTTGATAGAGCGGAATGACAGACAAAGATTTGTGTAGCCGACTAAAATAGTTGAGACAAGTTCTGATGGTGATAACATTTAGGCCCTCAAAATTTGGAGATATAACCTTTTTAGTACATAGTCATCAATAAAAGAGATTTTCTAATTGCAACCTCTAAAAACTTTAAAAATAAATGTCTCAATTTAGAATAGACAAGTTTTGGGAGGGCGAGATCTAAATGTTAAAAAACTTAAATTTCAATATATATTGTTTCCAAGAATAATCATCTAGTGAATCATAAATAATTCCCAAAATTTCAAATCGAAAAAATCCTTTCAAGTAGGTCATCTGCCTTGGGGAGTAGAACTGAACTATGAGATGAAGGAGCAGAGTATTCGCGCTCTTTTATAAAAAGACACTTAGCAATAAGTGCATGATTGTACACCCTACCTGCTACGAGTGTGCTTTTTGGAAAGTTATTAATGTCGTTGCGGTCACCATAAACAACACACATGCATATGAGAAGTATCTTCATAAAACTATTGAAATAGCCTGTTTGGCATGCAACCTCACAACACAAGCATCACAAACATAATATAAACAACAAGATGTAAAAGGGCAGTTATGCAGTAGGGTAGGACGCTTCCATCGCTATGCCACAAAGGCCCTCTTTTGAGGCAACATCCCGCTGCATCCTTATGTATCCTTTCTCTCCCCATTCCTCGCCCCATGAATTTTTCACTAGCCAATATTTAGTCCCATCACTAGAAACTCCATACCCTACTGCAGTTACACCATGGTCTAGCTCTGTACCACAATCGCCATTGAAGACACCCCCAGAGTAGAACTGGAATTCATACCCACTCGCGTCAATGGCGACGGAGACGGGCTGGTTGGCAACGGCCTTGACCAGTGCCTTCTCATTGTTTGTAGGAACATCCTCATATCCTGTGATTTTAGCAGCACCGGAGGATGCCTTTTTGGTGTTGCACGTACCATCAACTGCCTTGTAGGGGTATTTAGCCTCGGTGGTCAGGCCGTGGTTGTTTATGATAAACTCGAATGCATCATCCATGAAGCCTCCATTGCAGCCCTGATCTTCTCCTTTGGTGTCACAGTCTACCACTTCTTGCTCAGATAGAGATACCAACTTCCCAGTCTTGATTTGGGTTATGCCCTCCACGGCAGCAACAGCAGAAAATGCCCAACAACAACCTACGTCCATAAAGAAGAAAAAGCATTACAGTCTATAACATTGGTAATTAATTCTTAATTTAAGGTTCAATTCCTTGGTTAAATTGTTAGAACATGAAGGATACACGACAGTGTTAATCTATCCAAGAAAGCCAAAGAAGAAAGGAAAAGATAGTTCATCAAAAATGACTCGCTTGGCCAAGGCGAGTTACTCGGCTGAATCCAAGGCCTTTTGGCTTTAAAAAAATTGACAAAATAAAAATCTTGTACTAAAAGTAAACTGAAACCTAAAACAACTCTTAAAAGTTAAAACATGCTCTAAAACAGAGAAAAAATAGATTTAAAAAACTGATATACAGTTTCGGACATTTTAAAAATTCCTAAAAAAGAGAAAACTATAAAAATATTAATTATGATAAAAACACACGCCAATCTTTGCGGGATAGATTGAGAATTTTTAGAATTTTGTAAAACAAGCTAACATTTTTTAAATTTTGTTAGCTTTTTAATCATCGAGTTGTACACCTAACTCGGGAGAACTTGGATTTGCTTACACCAGTCTGGGTCGAGTCATGGTAGGGCCTTAGAAAGTATAAAGAAATTAATGGTTTACCACATTGGCCTTGATCCTTGACTTGAGTAACAGCCCCTTTTTTCCTCCAATCCATGCTGGCCGGTGCTGAAACATTGGCATACATGAAGGGAGCATCAGATGCCCTCGTGGGGCATTCATGACCCTTGAAGCCCATGTGCATGGCCCTGAATTCATCGTTGGTGAGGTCTGCAAACTTGTTCGCGCTCAGTTTGTAAGGTCGGCCCCCCGCATTCACAGAGTCTATGAATTTCAGATTTTCCTCGAATATCTGGGAGCGTTGCTCCTTCTCTTGTGCATCCATGTACTGGCGGCCATGAAGAGCCATCCATTGCTCAAACCTCGCCGACATTGACGATGAGGATTCCTCTTCCAGCCTGCGAGGAGTTGCAAACGGTAGCCAAAGGCTGATGAGAAACAAGGCCAAACACAAGCACAAACAAGAAAGTGGTGAAGCAACTCTAGCAGCCATTGCGACTGAATGTTTTTCATTTTGGAATGCTTAATGTATTTACAATGAAGCATTTGGCTAGTGTATTGAGCTATATATACATACATAACTTCCTAATCTCCATTAGAACTCACCCGCTGCGTCCCAACACAAACACCCAAACGATTGTGACATACTTCGCTCTCTTCACTTTCTGTAGCAATGCTCTCCACCGTTTACGTTAATCTGTTTAGCTTGTATCCCACGAAGATCATCCTTTTGGTTTCGAGTGCATCTCGCTACAATTTTGATCCTTTTTTTCTAAATTTAATGTTACAACATACTTTGATCTTTAATTTGCTTTTTTCCCCTCTCCTTAAAATATTGTCCCTTTTATCTTTTTCTCAAGGTCTCTCTAGGGTAATATTATTTAGACCCATTTAGATATAACCAAAAAAAAGTAAAATGCAAAATGAATCAAAATGAGTTATAAATCACAAGGTTGGTTACTATACAATTTTTATTTTATTTTTTAAAATGCCTCTCGGTCCGAGGATACCGTCCCCGAACGGTTTTAATATTTCATTTTTTTTTTTAGGTTTCTTCATTGTATTCTATGTTTTAGGATATTTGGCGTCTGGCCCGAGGTACCCATCCTTGGACTGCTTAGATTGTGGTGGTATGCTTAGGTGGTCCAGAGGATGGAAATCTCAGCCTGCTCATTTAGGCTCAATCAATTTAGCAGTCCGACGTCCCCATCCCTAGATTGCCCACATTGTGGTGTTCAACCACATTATAGGCCGTCCGAGGATGGAGACCTCGGACCTCCAATGATGTAATGTAACCGGTTGTTTTGATGCCCAAATATCCTTAAATTGATCATCTCAATATCATGATGCATGGAAATGAAAAAAAAAAGGATCTCAAGATTTAGAAATAATATATTTTGTAACACAGTTTTGGACTTTCAATTTTCAAGATTTTCTAGTTTTCATAGATCTATTGGTCTACATTATTTTTTAAGCTTTAAACTTTATAAATAAAGAAGAAAATATATTTTAAGGCTGTTACAAATATTTCCTGTATTGAAACCATATTTCTCGACTCTATTTGGAGGTAAGCTCTAATTTTTTAAAATTTTTAGGAACTGTGGCGCCTCCATTCAAAATTTGTTGAGGTATTTGAGAGTGGGAAAAGCACAACGCAACCATTCAGTTTTGACATCCGAAAGCGAGGGTGGTGTTATACTACTGTAGTATATCTCATTGTGGTCACCGGTTGTGAAGATGGAGGGTGGGACAAACTTACCAAAGTCGTGACAAGCTTTGGTCTAGGGGTGGCGATGGACCCGACCTGGGACCAAATGGGTAAACCGGTACCGGGTAGGGTCCAAACATTGAACCCGGCAAGTGTCTGGGTTCAAATCATGGACCCGAACACTATTCGGGTTTGGGTCCAGTTAGGTTGTTTGGGTCCAAGTCTGAATTAGAATCCGGTACTGTTTTTTGGGTCTCAATATATGAAATATATTGAAACATAGTTAAATACATTGATATTATAATTTTTAAGTCGGGTCCGAGTCCAAGTTCGGATCCCACACTATATTTTTTTGGTCCAGGTATGATGGTTTTGGGTCCATTCGGATCGGGATCCCATATCATTTTGGTGGTTCCTCTCAATCCACCCATCCTTTGAATTGATGTTTGTGTTACCCATGAGAACATTCCTTCATTTCTTCTATGGTCATCTGTTGTATATTTATTGGAAAAAGCTAACAAATACTTGGCAGCTATAATGAATAGTAATATAGGTGGAATCCCAGACGTCAAATCTTCATCGAGTAGATCAAAATACATATCACTATTTTAATTTTAATTTTTTTCTATAAATCTGATTAAGATGAAATTTTGGGTGTATATACCTAACACAATTTCGCACCATATAAAGATATAAAAAAATTATTTTCAATATTTAAAATAGCCAAATTGCCCCCGTTATTTTTTAGGGGTATTTCGATCATTTTATATTTCGAGATATATTTTTTAAATATTTTTTAATTGTGCACCCTCTTTTTTTAGTACACGTCTAAAATTTAATTATGATCTCATTTCTAAAAAAAATATTAAAATTTATATAATGATATGCATTCTGAACTATACGATGAAGATCTGACGGCTATAATTTCATCTATATTACTATTCATTATAGCGACTACCTATTCGGAAGGTTTTCTCAACTTATTATTGAAATTTGAATCACCCATTTCCTTTAGTCATAAGAAAATGCTAGGTGATCTTGCAGAGCACTTTGAAATTTCAACTGATCCTTGCTTATTAGGGAGAAGAAACAACTTCGTTATGTTGCAAGACCACTCTATAGCTAAGGGGATCTTGGATTTTACTATATGATAATATTGGTATCTTTTTACTTATCTCTGAAAATGGCAAGGAATAAAAGAACAAAAAAAAGCATATACCAACCTTTCTATAACTGTAATCCCAAATAACCCATAAACTCCCTCCAAGTAAGAAGTAAAAGACATTAAACCATTTCCAACAGTTTTATTGTGCAATTTTAATGTTTATCCTTTTTTTTTTTTTGTTAATAACGACCCCATCGTCCAAATGGAATTTGGGATACCATGTTTAAAGTTTAAACTACTTGTGAGGAGAGAAAGAGAACGGAGGAGGAGGAAGGGGTCTGCAAGTGATGAAAAGGGAGGGTTACCTTTTCTAAATTGAGATGAGGTATCATTGGAAAAGGAAACAAGGATAAATATTGTAATATAGACAATAAAAAGGTAGGAATGGGTTAAACATCATTTTCATTTAAATTGGTGAGGTCTATACACTTTACATAGACCTGATGGTTTATTTGAATTTATAATTCTAGGAAATTAGATACAAATCTGTTTTCCAAAAATAAAACAAGGGGAATCAGGGACGATCAAACGTAGGTCTATGGTTTTAGGGACCCAAAATCATTTTAATTCTCTTTTGAAACCATTCGCCTATCCTAGTGTTAAGAGTTGTCTCAAATACGCATTCATGCTTTTAGCTAAGGGTTTAAAATGAGGGACTTCAAGTTTCCTTACAATGTGAAAGAATAGTGGGGAATCCTTAGAACAATGTACTCCAATTTATATTACAACATTTCGCAATGATATCCAAGACCCATCGGAAGATCAATTCATCACAATCAAATCATACTTTTGAGATGTTGGATACATTGCAGATTGGAGACTATGAATCATCAAATAAAGATCATATATCATGGCAAGAAATATTTACTTCTAGATCAGGCAAATAGATCAGCAGTTTTAATGATTAGAAAATGCCAGTGCCCAAGCAAGAGGTGCCCCTAATCGAAGAAATCGACATGAAATCTGAATCTTCATGATCACACAGAGAAGATATTTAGATATATTGTGTACCACAAATTTTGATAATTAACTGTAAAGAGGAAGATACGCCGCCTATATCTTGTATAATAGAGCTCTTTGAGCTCCAATAAGAAATCAAGGTTATGCTTGATAATAGTGTTGTACATCAAGTGTTTCATTAATTGATTTATTCGAGCGGAAAAAGTACCCCAGTGAATGGCAAGATTAACAACCAGTTCATAAGAATCCTGTGAAAGATGCAATGAATTCAACAAGCTCAATGTCAAGCTTTTCCTAACGTTAAGAAAAAGACGTGGTAAAGTAACTAGAGTTTATCTTCGCCTTTTCTTTCCTAGAGATATTTGTGTATTTTTTATTCTACATAGTATAAGGGTATTTATTCCTCGCTCTCTCTCCTCACTACAAGAGGTCCTTCTACTCACTTTCTCTCTCTATGCAAAAAATTCCCATAACCATAACAGGGTAACTCCAAACAGGATGCGTGTTACATCTCCTTGATCTCCATATAAAAATTTCATTAGGGTTTCCTAGTATCTCTTCAAGAAACCCCTTCTGATTTTACCCGAAGGCCATAATACTTCCAATTTTTATAGAAACACATAGAAGTAATGATTTTGAATAGCTCTAAATTTTATTTTATTTTTTGGATAATTCAATAAGGAAGACAGCCCCTACCTGTTTTTCCAAATAGTTTAAGCATTAGTTTCTTGAAGGTGTTAGTAGCGTGGTGTCTATGGGAATGAAAACCACAACGTGATGACTAGGGTGTCGAGGTACTACCACCACAAACCCAGCCCCTTTCTTGCTAGCCCCGAACTCAACCACAATAGACTCCTATGTGTGTGTTGTTACCTACACACTTTGTTGAGCACTTTGGAAGGGCACTAATGCTTTATGAGCTCTATTTACTCTAAAGGGTGAATTTAGAAACACATGCACATCAGTAATGCATTCACATAAAATTATTTATAAATAGCTTGTTTGGCATATATCCATTTGGTGTCAACAATAAACGCATGACGAGCATAATATATACAAGCTCATGAGAGGATGCAGAAGGGCGTTTATGCAGTGGGGTAGGATGGTTGCATTGCTATACCACAGAGGCCCTCTTTTGAAGCAACATCGCGCTGCATCCTAATGTACCCTGCCTCCCCCCATTGCTCGCCCCATGAGTTCTTCACTAGCCAATATTTAGTCCCACCAGAGGTTCCATAGCCCACGGCTGTCACGCCATGGTCTAGTTCTGTACCACAGTTGCCGGTGAAGATGCCCCCAGAGTAGAACTGGAATTCATACCCACTCGCATCAATGGCAACTGAGACGGGCTGGCTGGTGACGGCCTTGAGCAGGGCCTTCTCATTGTTTGTGGGAACATCCTCGTAACCTGTGATAGTAGCAGCGATCGAGGATGCTTTCTTGCACGTGCCATCAACAGCCTTGTAAGGGTATTTAGCCTCGGTGGTGAGGCCGTGGTTGTTAATGATGAATTTGAATGCATCATCCATGAGACCCCCATTGCAGCCCTGATCTTCTCCTTTAGTGTCGCAGTCTACTACTTCTTGTTCGGATAGAGACACCAGCTTGCCGGTTTTGATTTGGTGTATGCCCTCCATGGCGGCAACAGCCGAAAACGCCCAACAACAACCTGAGTCCATGAAGGAGACATACAATTACATGTTGTAACACTGGAAATTGAAAAATTAAGCTTCTTGACTAAACATTTAGCTACACCAATATGCTAATATGTTAAAGCAGGCCAAAGAAGAAACATAAATATAGTTCATTAGAAAGTGTAAGGAAATAAATAGTTAACCGCATTGGCCTTGATCCTTGACAGGAGTAACAGCCCCTTTCTTCCTCCAATCCATGCTGGTCGGCGCTGAAACATTGGCATACATGAAGGGAGCATCAGATGCCCTCGCAGCGCATTCATGACCCTTGAAACCCATGCGTGTAACCCTGAATTCATCGTTGGTGAGGTCTGCAAACTTGTTTGCACTCAGTTTGTAAGGTCGCCCCTCCGCATTCACAGAGTCTATGAATTTCAGATTTTCCTCGAATATCTGGGAGCGTTGCTCCTTCTCCCTTGCATCCATGTACTGGCGCCCATGAAGAGCCATCCATTGCTCAAACCTCGCCGACATTGACGATGAGGATTCCTCTTCCAGCCTGCGAGGAGTTGCGAACGGTAGCCAAAGGCTGATGAGAAACAAGGCCAAGCACAAGCACAAGCAGGAGAGTGGTGAAGCAACTCTAGCAGCCATTGCGAGTATGTTTTTCTTTTTGGAATGCTTAATGTATTTGCAATGAAGCATTTGGCTATTGTATTGAGCTATATAAACATACATAACTTCCTAGTCTCCATTAGAACTCACCGGCTGCGTCCCAACACGAACACCCAAACGATTGTGACATACTTCGCTCTCTTCACTTTCTGTAGCAATGTTCTCCACCGTTTACGTTAATCTGTTTAGCTTGGATCCCACGAAGATCATCCTTTTGGTTTCGAGTGCATCTTGCTACAATTTTGATCCTTTTTTTCTACATTTAATGTTGCAACATACTTTGATCTTTAATTTGTTTTTTTCCCCTCTCCTTAAAATATTGTCCCTTTTATCTTTTTCTCAAGGTCTCTCTTGGGTAATATTATTTAGACCCATTTAGATATAACCAAAAAAAAGTAAAATGCAAAATGAATCAAAATGACTTATAAATCACAAGGTTGGTTACTATTCAATTTTTAATTTTTTTTTTAAAATGCCTCTCGGTCCGAGGATACCGTCCCCGAACGGTTTTAATATTTCATTATTATTTTTAGGTTTCTTCATTGTATTATATGTTTTAGGATATTTGGCGTCTGGCCCGAGGTACCCATCCTTGGACTGCTTAGATTGTGGTGGTATGCTTAGGTGGTCCAGAGGATGGAGACCTCAGCCTGCTCATTTAGGCTCAATCAATTTAGTAGTCCGACATCCCTATCCCCAGACTGCCCACATTGTGGTGTTCGACCACATTATAGGTAGTCTCAAAATGGAGACCTCGGACCTCCTACGATGTAATGTAACAGGTTGTTTTGATACCTAAATATCCTCAAATTGATCATCTCAATATCATGAGGCATGGAATTTAAAAAAAAAAGGATCTCAAGATTTAGAAATAGTATATTTTGTAACACAGTTTTGGACCGTCAATTTTCAAGATTTTCTAAATTTCATAGATCTATTGGTCTACATTATTTTTTAAGCTTTAAACTTTATAAATAAAGAAGAAAATATATTTTAAGGGTATTACAAATATTTCGTGTATTGAAACCATATTTCTCGACACTAATTGGAGGTAGGCTCTAATTTTTTAAAATTTCTAGGCACTGTGGCGCCTCCATTCAAAATTTGTTTAGGTATTTGAGAGTGGGAAAAGCACAAAGCAACCATTCAGTTTGACATCCGATAGCGAGGGTGGTGTTATACTACTGTAGTAAATCTCATTGTGGTCACTGGTCGTGAAGATGGAGGGTGGGACAACCTTACCAAACTCAAGACAAGCTTTGGTCTAGGGGTGGCGATGGACCCGACCTTGGACCAAATGGGTAAACTGGTACCGGGTAGGGTCCAAACATTGAACCCGGCAAGTGTCTGGGTTCAAATCTTGGACCCGAACACTATTCGGGTCTGGGTCAAGTTAGGTTGTTTGGGTTCAGGTCTGGATTTGAATCCGGTACTGTTTTTTGGGTCTCAATATATGAAATATATTGAAACATAGTTAAATACATCGATATTTTAATTTTTAGGTTGGGTCTGAATCCAATTTCGGATCCTACACTATATTTTTTGGTCCAGGTATGGTGGTTTTGGGTCCATTCGGGTCGGGGTCCCATATCATTTTGGTGGTTCCTCTCAATCACCACCCATCCTTTGAATTGATGTTTGTGTTACCCATGAGAACATTATTTCATTTCTTCTATGGTCATCTGTTGTATATTTATTAGAAAAAGCTAACAAACACTAGGCAGCTATAATGAATAGTAATAGAGGTGGAATCTCAAACGTCAAATCTTCATCGAGTAGATCAAAATACATATCACTATTTTAATTTTAATTTTTTTCTATAAGTTTGATTAAGAAGAAATTTTGGGTGTATATACCTAACACAATTTCGCACCATATAAAGATATAAAAAATTTATTTTCAATATTTAAAATTGCCAAATTACCCCCGTTATTTTTTAGGGGTATTTCGATCATTTTATATTTTGAGATATATTTTTTAATTGTGCGTCCTCTTTTTTTAGTACATGTCTACAATTTAATTATGATCCTATTTTTAAAAAAATATTAAAATTTATATAATGATATGCATTCTGAACTACACGATGAAGATCTAACGGCTAGAATTTCATCTATATTACTGTTCACTATAGAGGCTACGTGTTCGGAAGGTTTTCTCATTCTTATTATTGAAATTTGAATCACCCATTTCCTTTAGTTAGAAGAAAATGCTAGGTGATCTTGCATGACCACTTTGAAATTTCAACTGATCCTTGCTTATTAGGGAGAAGAAACAACTTCGTTATGTTGCAAGACCACTCTATAGCTAAGGGGATCTTGGATTTTACTATATGATAATATTAGTATCTTTTTACTTATCTCTGAAAATGGCAAGGATTAAAAGAACAAAAAAAAACATATACCAACCTTTCTATAACTGTAATCCCAAATAACCCATAAACTCCCTTCAAGTTAGAAGAAAATACATTAAACCATTCCCAACAGTTTTATTGTGCAAATTTTAATGTTTATCCTTTTTTTTTCTTTTTCTTTTTCTTTTTTTTTTAATAACGACCCCATCATCCAAATGGAATTTGGGACACCATGTTTAAAGTTTAAACTACTTGTGAGGAGAGAGAGAAAAAGGAGGAGGAGGAAGGGGTCTGCAAGTGATGCAAAGAGAGGGTTACTTTTTTTAAATTGAGATGAGGGATCATTGGAAAAGGGAACAAGGATAAATATTGTAATATAGACAATAAAAAGGTAGGAATGGGTTAAACATTATTTTCATTTAAATTGGAGAGGGTCTATACACTTTACATAGACATGATGGTTTATTTGAATTTATAATTCTAGGAAATTAGATACACATCTGTTTTCCAAAAATAAAACAAGGGGATTCAGAGAAAAACAATGAGAATCATTTAGTCTCTAAAAAGTAGCCCAGCCATTTGAGGGACGATAAAACGTAGGTCTATGGTTTTAGGGACCAAAAATCATTTTAATTCTCTTTTGAAACCATTCGCTTATCCCAGTGTTAAGAGTTGTCTCAAATACGCATTCACGCTTTTAGCTAAGGGTTTAAACTGAGGGACTTCAAGTTTCCTTACAATGTGAAAGAATAGTGGGGAATCCTTAGACCACTGTGCTCCAATTTATATTACAACATTTCGCAATGATATCCAAGACGCATCGGAAGATCAATTCAACACAATCAAAGCATACTTTTGAGATGATGGATACATTGCAGATTGGAGACTATGAATCATCAAATAATGATCATATATCATGGCAAGAAATATTTACTTCTAGATCAGCCAAATAGATCTGCAGTTTTAATGATTAGAAAATGCCAGTGCCAAAGCAAGAGGTGCCCCGAATTGAAGAAATCGACATGAAATCTGAATCTTCATGATCACACAGAGAAGATATTTAAATATATTGTGTACCATAAATTCTGATAAATTCTGATAATTACACAATATATTTAAATATATTGTGTACCGTAAATTCTGATAATTCTTCATGATCACACAGAGAAGATACGCCGCCTATATCTCGTATAATAGAGCTCTTTGAGCTCCAATAAGAAATCAAGGTTATGCTTGATAATAGAGTGTTGTACATCAAGTGTTTCATTAATTGATTTATTTGAACAGAAAAAGTACCCCAGTGAATGGCAAGATTAACAACCAGTTCATAAGAATCCTGTGAAAGATGCAATGAATTCAACAAGCTCAATGTCAAGCTTTTCCTAACGTTAAGAGAAAGGCGTGGTAAAGTAACTAGCGTTTATCTTCACCTTTTCTTTCCTAGAGATATGTGTCTTTTTTATTCTACATAGTATAAGGGTATTTATTCCTCGCTCTCTCTCCTCACTACAAGAAGTGCTTCGACTCACTTTCTCTCTCTTTCTCTCTCTATGCAAAAAATTCCCATAACCATATGGGTAACTCCAAATAGGATGGGTGTTACATCTCCTTGATCTACATATAAAAATTTCATTAGGGTTTCCTAGTTTCTCTTCATGAAACCCCTTCTGATTTTACCCGAAGGCCATAATACTTTCAATTTTTCTAGAAACACATAGAAGTAATGATTTTGACTAGCTTTAAACCTTTTTTTTTTTGGATAATTCAATGGTTTTTTTTTTTTGGATACTTTAATGGGGAAGACAGCCCCTAGCTGTTTTTTCAAATAGTTTAAGAATTAGTTTCTTGAAGGTTTTAGTGGCGTAGTGTCTGTGGGAATGAAAACCACAACGTGATGACTAGGGTGTCGAGGTACTACCACCACAAACCCAACCCCTTTCTTGCTAGCCCCGAACTCAACCACAATAGACTCCTATGTGTGTGTTGTTACCTACACACTATGTTGATCACTTTGGAAGGGCACTAATGCTTTGTGAGCTCTATTTACTCTAAAGAGTGAATTTAGAAACACATGCATATCAGTAATGCATTCACATAAAATTATTTATAAATAGCTTGTTTGGCATATATCCATTTGGTGTCAACAATAAACGCATGACAAGCATAATATATACAAGCTCATGAGAGGATGCAGAAGGGCGTTTATGCAGTGGGGTAGGATGGTTGCATTGCTATACCACAGAGGCCCTCTTTTGAAGCAACATCGCGCTGCATCCTAATGTACCCTGCCTCCCCCCATTGCTTGCCCCATGAGTTCTTCACTAGCCAATATTTAGTCCCACCAGAGGTTCCATAGCCCACGGCTGTCACGCCATGGTCTAGTTCTGTACCACAGTTGCCGGTGAAGACGCCCCCAGAGTAGAACTGGAATTCATACCCACTCGCATCGATGGCAACTGAGACGGGCTGGCTGGTGACGGCTTTGAGCAGAGCCTTCTCATTGTTTGTGGGAACATCCTCGTAACCTGTGATAGTAGCAGCGAGAGAGGAAGCTTTCTTGCACGAGCCATCAACAGCCTTGTAAGGGTATTTAGCCTCGGTGGTGAGGCCGTGGTTGTTAATGATGAATTTGAATGCATCATCCATGAAACCCCCATTGCAGCCCTGATCTTCTCCTTTAGTGTCGCAGTCTACTACTTCTTGTTCGGATAGA